TCAGCAGAGTGCAAAAACTTTTTTTTTTAAAAATTGCCTCTTCAAAATCTTGGTGCGTCTTATACTCCGAAAAATACGGTATTTAAATGGTGGTTGAACAAGGCAGCAGGTTAACACAGTACTTTCTGGTTACTGTCCACTTTCCTTCCTTTCTTTTAGGAGGCATTGGGTGGCTGAATGAAGGTGGTGAACCAAAGTTGAAGAATTCTGAGAAAAGGAAGCCTCTGAGGAAGTTCTTGAAAGCTGCCATCAAAACTGATTTGCTGGCCTTCGAAGAGACCGATGGAAACGGCGACACGGCAACAAAGCAGAATGGAAGTGATGTTGAGAAGGGAGTGGGTCCGTCAGTTCCGCCCCAAAGTGTTGGCTCAGGGCTCAGTGACCCTGCTGTCCAAGAGGAGGAGGAGATGAATGATAACGGGAGTGAGGAAAGCATGAATCAAAGCTTGAAGGTTGTGAGAACTGAAAGCCCTGATGCTGAAGAGAAGCCGTTCCGGTGTTGGCATTGTGGCCAGATCTTCAGAAACAGTTCACATCTGGTGAGCCACGAGAGAACTCACGTTGGCGAGAAACTGTACAAATGTTCCCACTGTGGAGAAAGTGAGAGGACCCACACGGGCCAGAGGCCCCACAAATGTCCTCATTGTGGGTGTATTTTTGGCTATCACGGTCACAAGAGGATCTTTGTGGAGGAGAGGCCCCATGTGTGTTCTGACTGTGGGAAAAGTTGTAGTCAGAAATCCGATCTTTTAAAACACCAGAGAACCCATACAGAAAGCAAGAAATCTTACAAATGTTCTGCCTGCGGCAAAACCTTCAAAAATGGGTCAAGTCTCAAAGCGCACCAGAGAACCCACACGGGTGAGAAACCATATACGTGTTTGTACTGTGGGAAGTGTTTCGTCTGGAGTTCGCAATGCCGGCTGCACGAGAGAATTCACACAACTGAATGCTCCCACTGCGGAAAAGGTTTTGGTCAGAAATCAGAGCTGGTGGAACACGAGAAGACTCATCTCGTGGAAGATTTGTTGGTCTGTTTCGCCTGCGGGAAAATCTTTGAACTCAGCTCTGAGCTCATGGCACACATGCGGACTCACAAACGGAAGCAGTTCGAGTGTTCGGCCTGTGGGAAAACCTTTATGAACAGTTTGCAACTCACTGCGCATCAGAAGGTCCACACAGGAGAGAAGCCACATAAATGTTCCCATTGCGGGAAAAGCTTTAGCCAGAGACAGAGTCTGATAGCTCACGAGAGAATCCACACCGGAGAACAGCCACACATGCGCTTAGTGTGTGGGAAAAACGTCCGGAACGCCCCGAATCTCAAATCCCACGAGAGGACTCACATGGGAGAGAAGCCGTACCGTTGCTCCCATTGCGATAAAAGTTTCCGGTGGAGTTCACACCTCCTGTTGCATAAGAGGATTCACACAGGAGAAAAATCCTACTCGTGTTCTGATTGCGGGAGAACGTTTGACAGGAGGTGCAACCTTCTGAGGCATGTGAAAAACCACACAGGGCAGAGGTCCCATGTGTGCTCGGACTGTGGGAAAAGTTTCATCTCCAGCTCAGTCCTTTCGCGACATCAGAAAGTCCACGTGGGAGAAGATGTTGCAAGGTGCTTAGAATGCGGGAAAGGTTTCAGACAGTGCATGGACCAGGCAGAAAAGGTGTCGAAATGTCCTGAGTGCATCCGGAGACCATCCCTGGGTTTGGATCTTAGACGTGCACAAATGCGGTTGAAAGAGAAGACATTTCAATGCTCGCTCTGCAGAAAAACTTTCAACAACAGCTCTCACCTTATGGTTCATCAGAGCGTCCATACCAGGGTTCGACCAAGGCAGTGCCTGGAGTGTGGGCGAGACATCATCAGGAGGCCTAACCTTATTGCCCCTTTGAAAAACCTCTCGGGGCAAAACGCAGAGAAATGCACAGAATGTGAAAATAAAACAGTTGAACTAGATCTCGGAGGCAAATGTTGACCTCAACCTTCACCCACCCATCTCCTGAACGTTAAGACTTTCTGTCCCTTAAAAAGAGAAAATATTCCTGTGTCAGAAGACATTTATGGGGGCTGTTTGTACGTCAGTCGGAAAAAAGTCCCGATGGTGACTGTTTGATGCTACAGCCTACCTGAAGATGATCAGAAATTTGTACCCTACCATGCTCACATGACCATACTTTGGGGTTTAGGCAACAAGGACAGATATACAGCGATTTGCTGTGTCCCGTGGTCATGTGACTGTGTTTAATGATAGTTTTGCCGAAAACTGGCACTTCTGGTTTTCACCAAAACTGCGTTTATAATTATATTCACATTTATGACTGGTGTGTCTGCTTTAACAACCAGCATTCACACCATCACAGTGATTCACACACACACACACACACACAAAAATATTATTACCATATTTTTTGGAGTTATAAGACTCACCGGAGTATAAGATGCACCAAGATTTTGAAGAGCTAAATTTTTTTTAAAGTTTTTGCATTCTGCAGGCCTCCCAAACCCTCTGTATGCCTTGTTTTTTTTGTGAAAAACAGGC